TTTGTTAGAGCTACAGATCGAGTACCCAGTGGCTGCTAATGTCGTCGCTGATGGTATCTCTCTGCCCTAGCGCGAAAGCATCGTTCGTCTAAACCCCGAGGGTTTTCCGTGCTCTCTGGGAGAACGTGCGGCTGGTCGCCGTTGTTCTCATGGCTTCGGCGACCGAACAACGTTGTTGCTGAACGCAGGCCTCGGACCAAGACGGGTTCGAATGCCTCTGATTCTTGAGCACATAACGTAGAGGCACCAAGTGGGTGCACGACAGAGCCATGCTTTGGCGTATAGACTAGGTATGATACAATTTCGCGCATGCCTTCTAGTTTCGCAATGCGCTAACAGTACACAGCTGCGTCGATGCAGAAAGGGATCGTGTCCAAGTCGAAGATGGCGATCCAAAAGCAGTTGGGGCAAGACGGCAGCTGGGACCCTGTTACGCGGTCGGGCGACCCGTGTCGTAGTCCTCTCGTAGACCCCTACGTCATGTTTACGAGGCAGGAACAGAAGCTTTGTCAACCACGCAGAGGCTATGTTGCCGCATGTTCTCTTCGATTTGTTGAGGGACATGCGCTTCCGGGCACAAAATGCGTCGCCTTTGGTGGTACGCATTGAGCATACCAGGGACGTCGCTTTGTTCTCGCTGGCGTTCGCGGCCACGACGACATCTCCTTCACGATGGGATCGCAGATTCTTCGGCTGCCAGCGGGGGAGGATCTTATCTTCAATTTCCAGTTTGGTGAGACCCCCCATGACTCCGTAGACACCGTGGTTGCGGGCGCGGACGTTACGGGCTGCCCCACCGCTGCACGATGCCTTCCTCTCGGGACGGGGGATGTGTGGCACAGTTGCTGGATGGACCTGCAATCGCTGTTATCATGAAAACTTGCCGGGCGGCGTACCAATAGCGTCGCACTTGGCGCCTACTAGTGTAGGAACGGCGGGTTCCAAGACGAGCCGTAGCGAGTACTACCCTGACCAAAAAAAGTCGCCGATTGTCGGCCGGCCACGCATACATTCGATTTTTTACGTGTGCGTGCCGTGGAAAAAAGGAAGTTTGGGTGGGGAGAGACCTACCTTAGAGGCTTGTGTGGTCAAAGCAATATATGGTCGATCAGACAATCATCAGGAAAATAATGGGCGGGACCACAGGCCGGTGCAGGAGGCCTCACCCAACCCAATCCAATACTTACATTGAATGATCTAGGTAAGGGACAAGAATACAACAGTAATCTCGGATTTGAGACGAATCTAGATCTCGGAACGAAATCGGGAAGAGTCAGATATCCCATGAAGCATGTTGGAAAATGACTCTACCTTGTTCAGTCCCCTTTCTCTCTCCCAAAATACGCCGGGGCAGAGGAGGAAGAAGAAATATTTTAGACCATCCCACCCGCCCTACGAATACATTTTCTATTCATGAACTTGCTGATCATTCAAACGCTTCGGGTCTGGGCATATTGCGATCTGTATGCCCAGCCCGAAGAGTTACTTCACGGCGAGGCCCTCCTGTCGGTGCAGGAGGCCTCACCCAACCCAACCCAATACTTACATTGAATGGTCTAGGTAAGGGACAATAATCCAACAGTACCATTTTAGGGACTTGGTTGCCTCCACCGCAGGAGAGATCACCCTCAGTTGCTATTTGGAGGGAAGAGAGAGACATTCTTTATTGGGAGAGAGGCAGAGGCACGATTGAAAGGCCGCAGAAACGTGTCTGCGGGAAACGTGCTTTCTGCCAGTTTGGTATCTCTTTCTTCCTTCGGGCGGTAGAAAATATATATATATGCAATTCGAAAGCAAACAATAAAGGGCAGGTTTGTTTAAGGCGTAGACAAAGGCGTAGACAAAACAAACCGAGGTTCATTGAAATAACTCGAATTGCCATACTGTTTATATTGGGGTACCCGGAACGTATTGCGTACTGCGGGCCCCCCTCGGTCGAGAGGAGGAGTCGCATGTGTTACCATTCTCTTCAAGCCTTGTGTCCACAGAGTCTTAGCGTGCCAGAGAGAGAGTATCGCAGAGACAACTAACGAGGTGGTCACATAGAAAGCTTCTAGTGGTGTGCCAGCTTCTGGAGCTGAAAGGAAGTGGAGTATTTTCCCACCCACCCACCGCTTTTCTTTCGAAGGTGGGGGAAAGGAGAGGACGGATTAAGTATCCGGTAGAACTTGTAGCTGTATGTATCTGAGGCGAATAAAATGGTAGGGTACCATGGTAGGGACTTATCATCTGAGGCTACTGGGTCCAGTAGGATTGGTTCCCCCCACCGCATGAGAGAGCACCCTCAGTTGCTGTTTGGAGGGAAGACAGAGACATTCTTTATTGGGAGAGAGGCAGAGGCACGATAGAAAGGCCGCAGAAACGTGTCTGCGGGAAACGCGCTCTCTGCCAGTTTGGTATCTCTCTCTTCCTTCGGGCGGTAGAAAATAGAAATAAATGCAATTCGAAAGACAACAATAAATAAATGCTAAGTATTCCAAAACCGTATGAGGTCCGTTATCCAAACTCTCCCAGGGGCCAAGAAATAGTGACGTCTAGGGGTGTCTCGTCCTCGAGAGCGAGGTAGGCAGACCCTGGCCACACTTCCTCGTCGGGCTTCGGCGACTGGTCTTCAGCTTCTAACGTGCAAAATTATTAATATCCCCCACCGTTATAACACGCAGCCGAGCATTCGGGGGTCAATCATCTACATAGTGCGGTCGGTACCGAGGTGGTTGAATCCCACGCAACTCAGGCACAGCGGGCGCACGTGGCGACGGGAATGACAAAGAGCATCCTGTCCAAATACAAACGAAGATAATAACACTGCTTTTTGGCGTTGTTGTTACATGACACACCCGTTCCAAGTCGAGCGCCAAGCTCTGACGAAAAATATATACTAGCTGTAGATCTCGCTACAACGAGCGAGCGGCAGCTGATGAATGTAACTGTCGTCAGATGTGTGCGTCCACGGGCGGAAACAGGGTGTAAACACCACACACTTGATACTACTACACCTACCTGCTGTGCTGGTGTGAGAGCTGTGGTAACGTTCACTTTGACACACAGGTTACCCTCCCAACCCCCACCCCCTTCCATATCCCGCTTTCGTCGTCGTACATTTCCTCCGCATACTGTAGTCGTGCTGAACCCACGGTTGCCTCTTCTTTTGTTCGGTGTTTTTCCAACTGCCAGCGAAACAGCAGGACACCAGTCACGCAGGACTCGTCGCCTGGCGCACCAAACGTCACCATCGCACCACTTCGAGCGTGTGCTCCATTGTGGTGTCATATAGCGTGACAGTTGTGTTAGGCATGGGTGCTGTGTGTGGCAAGAGCATCGTGGCGATGTGAAATCCGGTTTGGCTTACTCGCCTGCCGATGCGGCCGATGCGGCCCGAGTGCCCGGGCCAAAAATGTCTTGGATTCCAAGTCGCCACTGAGGTCTCCCCACACGCAGCACCCATGCGTAACACAACTGCCACGCTGAATGACACCACAATGGAACACAGGTGCGATGGCGATCGGCGTCCTAGGTTTCAAGAACTAATATGCTGCTGTGCCCACATTCCTGGCAGTTGAGCTCGGCGGTCAAAACAATACATGCGGGACAGCAATATATACCACAACAACAGGCGATCCTCATGATTGAGAAAAAATCATTTATTGAGAAAATATTTTTGTTTTTGTCGAACAAAAAATGACCAAAACATTCTTGGTAACAGGTCAGGTCCTCCAACCTTAACTAGATTCACCCCTCGCAGACGCAGTGGCCGGGAGGTCGCCAGAGACTCGGAATGTTGTCGCCTAGATTTTTTGGCGTCGATTTCAAGAAAGACACAGACAAATGAACGTTGTACCTCGTATTTCGTACGTCTGTCTGCCAACAGGTTTTGTTGATGTTCGGTGTTCGACTAGCAGACTACAGCAGTACATGTAGTTCGATATAAACAATAATGTAGATATCGCAAAATAAAAATCCCCGGTCTCTTCTCAATACTTTCTAAATGCGTACCTACCGGTCCCAACTGACGCAGGGACGCCTTCGGTGGTCGCAGGCCACCTACCATATGAGGGTATCAGAAACTCAAGAAAAAAATAGCACGGACGCGAGAAACCTCAGCACAGAATATGAAGCCATCAAACCCCTACCCACACCACAGTCATACGGCGCTGGCGACATTTCGCGAAAGCCACAACCCCTGCCTACAAGTAACCTTTTTCAACCCAACGTGTTTCTCCGTCTGGCCTACAGTAGAGTACCGTTCAATACCCCGGGCACCCACTTGTCGTGCCTCTCTTGGGGTGCCTGTTTAGGGGTAGTGGCTCAACAACCCTTGCCCTACGAAAACTTCCTACACCTACAGCACTACCGCTTCCGTATCTCACTGGAATATACAAAATGCACAGCACACACAATACCTAGAACGCAATTGAGAGGGGGAGAGGAATGAAGAGGAAACACGAAACTCTGCATGCAGTGGTATTTGCTGGGTTGGAAAACACGGCAGAAATGAGGCGACTACCCTCGATCGTGAGCAACATGCCTCTCGACGCCTTGTCCAATGACGATGGTGATAGAATCTTCGTTCTACCCTTGACTGGCTTGAGTCTCTGGAACCACTTGCATGGCCTCGTTCGTTTTGTCGCCAAGATGTTTCCTTCGGCCTTCCCCAGGGCTCCTACGCCCTTTGCCAAGGGCACCACCAACAGCCTTCCTCTTTACGGCGAGCCTCGTGCCGTGTTCGTGATATTCCATCGCAGCTTTAAGCTTGCTCTTGTTTCGTCCACTTCCGACCTCTTTGTTTGAGGTTGCGGTCGGCTTGTTGGTTTCTTCACCCCCGTTTTTCTTCCTGGACTTGCCGGCGGTCTTTCGTTCGTTCTCCTTCTGTTTGTTGGGCTTGCGCCCGTCGCCTTGGTGGTGAGAGTTGTTGCTTACATCCTCATCCGAGCTGCTGGAACTCGAGTCGCCACTGGATTCCGTACTACGTGTGAGGTAAGCAGGCACAAATCGTCGCCGCCTTAATTCCTCGAGGGCCTCGTCAGCATCGTCCTCGTCCTCGTCGTCATCGGATGAGGGGGAGGAGGAGGAGGAGGACCGGAGTTCCTGCGCCCCCCTGTTCGTCGTACGGGCCTGCAGCGATCCGGCCTCGTTGTGATCCTCTCCTCCTCATCGTCATCTTCCTCCTCCTGGCCGTTGACTTCGTCCTCGTCGTCGGCGTCGGCGGCGTCGGCGGCGGCGGCGTACGCGGCGGCGGCGGGGGCGGCGGAGCGGGTGATGCGATTTCCTCCCTGGGTCGTACGGGACTCGGCAACCTTGGTCTTGATCTCCTCCTCCGCCGATTCCTCCTCATTCCCCGCCGATTCGTCCGCTTCCTCTTCCTCATCCTCGTACGAGCGACCGAGATATCCCTCTCCGGCCCCCTCGTTGACAATCTCGTCGTCGTCTTCGCTGTCGTCCCCGGCGTCGTCACCGCTTGCACCCGGTGTCTTCGCCTTCTTCTTAGAAGTAGCGGCAGCACCCCCGAGGGTAGAGGTAGGCCCGGTACCGCCTGCTACCACCATATCATCGGCCGTGACAAGGATCGTCTTCATCACGTCCGAACTGCCAGCCTTGTATGATCTGAAGTTGTAGCCGACCAGAGCGCAGCCCATGTCTGCCGTGGCCGAGGTGGCAGGAGTGGGTGGTTGCCAGCGTCCGATCATTGCTTCCTTGTCACTAGAGAGCGGCAGCGCCGACCTGATGTCCATGCGAGTTTCTCTTCGATCGGTCGACCATCTCGCCCAGTACATCAGGCAAGTTGGCGCGACCTGGAGGAATAGCTGCGCAGTCGACGAGGTGAGGCACGCCTCGCCGGGAGTGCAGCAGGCCCTCAGCTGAGCGTTGGACGCCGCCCGAATAAGACGAACGTAGCGCTTGTCGTGAGCATCCTCGTCGAGGGACAGGTACGCGTCACGCCGCGAGTCGTATACGTGGAGGCATCCCCAAATCAGCAGGTCGAAGGTGCCGGGGGTGTAGTTTACGCCAGGTGCAGTGTAGAGGGCGCGGTCGTCGAACTGAGTCTCCTGTCGATGTTGGACACGGCAGCGGGCAAAGGTGCACGGGTGACGTTCAGAGTGAGGTGGGTTGTATGGGCAAACCAAAGTACATTGCGCTGTGGATGATGAACATGCCATGCAGGCCGCGATCGTGTGGGCGTTCATGCTTAACAGGCTGAATTTATGCTTTCGCTACCTTCAGCCTAAGTTGCGGGCAGCTTGTGACTGACTGAGAGTCTACAGAGGGGGTAATAAACAAACGTAACGGTGCTTTTCGGCAGTTCTTCCTACAGGGAGCTTCGTTGCACAGTTTCTGTCACGCCTCAGCATATGGACATAAGCCTCGCTGACCGGAGAAAGAGTGTTGGCGTGGATAGAGATGTTGCAATTGCCACCAGGAATACAAACTACCAGTTGCAATAGGGAAACGTGAGTTCAAGGCGGTATCTGTAAACGCAAGCAACACTGCTGCTTAGCCTTGCATGAGTCTCACGGATGAATCGAGGGCCACGACCTTCTTCCTGACTCGTGCGTCCGTCGGCGGAATCGGCAGTGCCCGTGATACGCTTTAGCGCTTCGCGCACCTTCGGCGGTGTTGTATCCAGGGGTAGACCACGTGGGAGTCGGCCGGGTTTAATTTCCACTTCAGTCGGCACAACGACCTCCGGCTGTTGAACGAAATACGGAAGGGTAGGTACCGGAAACGGCGTTTCAGACACTCATGTCAGCGTGAAGGTAGGCAATGGGCAAAAATATCAGGGTGAGCTACCGGACGAGTACTCTAAAGGGGTGAGGTCAAACAAGCAAGCCCTACAGAACCTTTCGCAGTTTTTGTTGTCTGCGCCGTACACCGGAAAAGGCAAGAAAAGCCTAGACGCCCACGGCAAGGTGGTATCGCTTGCAAGATGCCAACCTGGAATATGCCCCTGGTGTACGCAGTCCGAAAGGCTGTCTCCCCCCATTCTTGGACGTGCTCCACATGCGTTTCTGACGTGACGTACGCCTCTACCCGTCGTCCTCGTGCGAGGCCTGTCGCAACGCAAGCGTTTCGTTCCGCACCGAGGACGATGATCGTGTCGCCTTGGTTGGTGTACCTGTGCACCGTTGGTTATCGAGGTATGAATAAAGTGGGTCGACAACATCTACGATTGAGTCGACAACATCCAAGAAAAACACAACAGGTCGAATTTTGGCCGTCTGCCTGTCTGTCTGTGTGTCTGTGTGTCTGTTTGTCTTTCACTCGACTTCTCGCTCTCTCGCTTGCTCTCTCTCACAGAGTTTGGAAAACGCACATATCTTCGTCAGTCGGTCTTCCTTTCCAACAGGATGCGATGAAGGCTACAAAACATTCGTGGGCGAGACGGCTCAACGAAAGATCCGTTTGGACATGAACACGGTGACTCTGTATCTGCAGACGCGGTACTCTACACCCGTTTTCTGTGAGAGAATGGGTCATTTTTAACAAATCAAGGATCATGCCCCAACCCCCCACAGCTCTCCCCGTCACACGGCGTGACTGCTTCGTGTATGCTTCTTGCCCAAGCATGGATTTCAACCCTCCCCCGGTAACACTAGTCGTCACCACAAGACATCAGGCCGGCAGAGATAAGGCTAACAACACCAGATGTAGTCACGAGAGTCTACAGACTTCCAAGGACGTAGACACCACTTTCACCTGTTGGTCAGTAACAACAGAACCTTGGAGGGCCAGTCCACGTCCGCCCCTTCATACGGGACATCAGTGAGGATCGATGTCGAAGAAGGCGGACTAGCTGTCTGGTTGTTCCCGAACAAGTCGTCTGTCGTCGCGGAACAGTTGACGGTGAAGCCATCGACTGGCGGGTTGGATGACCGTTGAGTCAAGTGCGCGAGCATCACACCCTCCTGACTAATCTTCAAGTGACCATGTTTTGCAGAAGCCGTGCGTCCTCCAATACCTCCAGCATACTGCACAGTCAGCAAGTTGTCTTCGACGGATATCTAGACGGTCTTGGCGGTTAGAGCGTCTGCGTGCACACGGCCAGCGGTGGAACACGTTGGTGTTGTAATAAGGGTTGATTATCACTCGGGTATGACAACCCGGCGATGAATCGACCAACGACGTGTCGAATGGGCACGTGTTAGGCAGGGCACCTACCGAATGTTATCTCCCGTACATGCCATCTGGACGGAGGTAACGCCTGCTCACCGTACAGGCGGCCTCTGTGGACGACCCACGGGGGGGGGACCAGAGGTGCCATAGTCCCCAAGCCGTGGAGGAAGTCGTGCCTGATAGTGTAGAAGACGTCTACGAGCTGCTGGTCGGTGATCTTGGTCTGCTTCAGGAGTCCGGGAAATGCGGCCAGGTTGAAGACGACCAGCTTGGAGGTGTTGCGAGGTTCGAGCTCGTCGAGTTGCGAGCGGCTCCTTCTGAACACGTCGTACTCTTTATGTATAACGAGCTTGTCCTCCCTGTTCGGTTGCGACGTAGGGGGTCGCCAGAAATTTCAAGGGAAAAGGAAGCTCACGAGACTGGCGTCGCCTAGGTGGTGCGGAGTCTATCAAGTCAAGTCCCACCAAGTAATGACGTTGTGTGATTGGGAGCGTACCCCCCTCGTCAGCTGCCAATATCACGTTACGACTGATATCCGTTTGAGACGATCCGTTCAACCTGCCCCGGTAACTCTAGGGTACGCCAAACTGTTGACTACCAGTATGTCATATCCACCACGCACTACAAGACCGTAAGCACTGGTCGTCGTCGGCTCTCCCCGTCGACTCCCGTCATGTTTTCTCTCTGTCTACCGTGCCTCACATGCACTCGGCGAAACGCTCATCGTCGTCTTGAGTGGTGGGTCGTGCCGTCAGCAGCTTGCCTACTGAATTCCTCTTGCACTTCCTCTGCCGACTCTTCTTCCCACCAGGCACCGCCGGCGTCGATCCCGTCACGGGGTCCCCCATTACCTTCGCTTTCCCCCGTCCCATTACCTTTCCCTCTCCCTTTCCCTTCTTCCCCTTGTCCTTCTTCGTCTTGGATTGGGATGTCGTACGGTGATCCTCCTCGTCGTCTTCTTCGTAGTCACCACCCCCCCCGTCGCCAGCCTCCATGAAGTCACAGCCACCGTTGTCGTCGTCATTTCCACTTTCCCCACAGCCGCCGTTGTCGTCGTCGTCTCCACTCCCCTCACAGCCCCCCCTGTCGTCTGCAGACGCCTCTGGTTCCGGAACAAGCTCGGCGAAATTCTGTGATAAGAGAACCCCCTGCAGCCTTTCCTCGTTCTTCTCGTACAGCTTTTTCATGCCAGGGTCCTGCTTGGCGACCTGGATACAGCAGCAGCAGCAGAATTCGTTAGTATGCGGTTATAGGGGATGGGAGCGCAGGGGATAAGGCAAGACCGCACGCACATTACGGTGACGTAGTGACGACACTCACGCGCGTCGACAAGTGAGTACCAATTGGGAGTCTACAACACTTGCACTCGGCGTTTCGTAACTGGTTTTAATGTATACCACCGTCACTGCTTGTGCCGCACTGATATGAATGCTTTTGTATGAGGTACCTTCAGGACTCGGTTCATGGGTTTGGCGACAATAATGCGCCGCTGATCCTCGGGAACCTTGTCGCCCGGCAACTTCTCGTCAAGATCAGCTGCTAAGTCGTCCTGTTGTCGCATATGCGGTCTCACTGATCCCTCGAGACCTCCCGGCTGCTTGTGCGAGTACTTGTCTACGATCCTGACACACACGAGGGAATACGCGTAGTCGGGGAGGTCCGCATTTTGGCTTAGCTTTCAAGGACTTGCAAATGTTGTTTCGGACTCGGGTGGTCACACTCTGTTAGATTCCACGGACGATCCAAGATGTCGTTTCCGGTGTAGAGGTCAGCGCGGTGAATCAGCATGTTGCCCATCTGTTTCGCACCTAGGGTAGCCAGTGTGGGTTAGGTCGATAGGTGGCGGGGGAGTGAGGGGGGGGGGGGGTGTACTCACAGTCGTGCATGCCGTAGTCGTTAGACCATTGACCTCGCATCCCTACAAAGCCGGGACGGAGCAGGCCGGGTTCTCACCGGACTAGACTCTCACATCACCAAGCGCGAAGCAGGGAGGTGAGGGGAACGGACTAATCCCTAAAAAACAACCTAGTGTGAAGACAATCGAGGGACGACACGGCTGGATACCCTCTCACTCGTTAAGGGCTTTCGACCACCCGGATTCTTCACCGAAGACAGTAGCTGTTCGGACGTAAAAATCCCGATACTCCCTCGTGAGGGCCGCAAGTTGATAGGTCACCGAGAGTCGGCGCCTTGCTCTTGTCGTCGCGGCTCTTAAACCAGTGGCGAAACAACAGAAGGACATATTAGGTATGAGCACGGATGTAGGCCACAACGATAAGAGTATTTCATTTTTTCTTCTAGTGTTGGGTACAATTTCTCAGCCACTACAGTACAACCTAGAGGCATTTGAGTCATACCTGGCAATATGCTCAAGCATGAGAGCTTGGGTTTGTTCGTTCCCAGGGGCGTCCTCTAACACCCATGGTGTGAAGGCCGTGTCGGAGAGCATGAGCCACGTGAAAGATCCCACGTCAATCGAGGCGTCGGAGGGCGACGATTCCTGGATACTCACGAGTCTTTGGAAAGCGGTGGAGCTCATCCTCATCATGTTTTTTGGCGACTGCGAATGACTGTGCGAGAGGGCACACTTTAGCACCCGCCTGCGTGCTGCTTTCATACAACGCGCGACGTAGTCAAGGACAACAAAATATGTCGACTTGGCACCCCGAAAAATGCACTAGGAGGGTTGCGCCCTCGATGAAGATAGTTCATTGTTCCTATCACGACACATGACGCCACGACTAAGCGAGGTAGTCGGAGGCAAGTGACGCATAAAGTGCGCTTTTTCAACCCAGGGTTACCGTGACCGATTCCGCTGGGACGCTTTACGACCAACCAATAGTACCGTTGTTCCGGAACGAAAGGGTTGTATGCGCGGCCAGATCGCCAAGCTGGCACTCGACATACGATAATATCGATAGCTGCACGACTATCATGTTCACTAACGAAAGACACATCATTGAAGCATGGAAAATTTCCATACCCCCCCTGCCCCGCCCCCCACGCCCCGCGCTTCGTAGCAATGGAGCTGGTTTCAATCTATCCATTTCCCTATGCCACGAGACGCACCGTCTTGTAGGCGTCCATGAGTTGCGTGGTCGTTGGAAAGAGGCCCCCTGATTCCATGCGAAAGGCCTCACTAGTCTATTGAAGAAGAACATCCAGTCTGCAACGCCCCGAACGACAACAGCCTCCGTCACCGTATTCAGGGCTGAACGCACGAAAGGGTGTCCGTCGGCGGCGAGAGAATGTAGTCAGTCAACAATCTGGACGCCGGAAGAGCAGAAGACACGTTCTGCCTGCTGGTCGTGCCCCTAGGCGAAATGCATTGTGCTCGTCCTTCCTTGAAGGGACGCATGATGTCAGACATGTGAACTCGTTAGAAGTCGATCCCAGCATCGAAAACGCCGTGCTGTTGGGTTAACGATAAAGTGTAGCAGCGAACGAAACAAGAAAACAAAATCGCGAGTCTAAAAGGAGCTGCTGCACCCAGTGTACTCATCACCAGCAAGAATCGTGTGCCTGACGTCCCCGAACTCTCGGTACAGCCGGAACGGGAACTTAACGTCCGCGCCGTGAATTTCTTTGAGAGCTTGCGTCCTGTACGCGCCGTCTAATATTCGCACAGGGGCGTTCGCTAACGCATCCGAGGTTAGCTGATTGGGGGGCATGTCGGTTGACTCGATTACCACCAACGGAGTACAGTGACGAAGGAAGCCACCGTTGTTGATGGAGGTCTTGATCTTAGCTTGCCCAGAGTCGGTGACAAGATGTCCACTGATGTTGACGTTCTTCAGCGGCAATTCGTACGTGCCGAGATAGTTGGCCTCAAGCTTGGCGGTCATGTCGACACTGGCTCCCGAAACCTGAGCATCATGAGCCATTGCCAGAAGCCCGTCTGCAGGACGCGTTTGGTTCGATTTGCGGAATCATGACAGGAGGTTATGTGAGCTAGCTTGTTGGTGGATGTCAGGTAGCCTATGAAGAAAGAAGTTCAGAGGCTCGTGGCATAACATGAGGATAATACCTATATACGAGCATTCTTAGAGTGCGGGCTCGATACATCGATCGATGAAGGGTGAACGGGGACCGAGTAATACAAAACAGACCCCGTTGTTTTCGCGACCGGAGCACCCACCTTTCAATTCCCGTCCTCAGGTTCTACGACTGTCTACAACTACTGTACCGCGATATTGGAGGACTGGTTGCTCACGGCGTTGTTCACCGAACAATATACATACCGCTGTGGATATTGCAAAATACGCGTGGTGGGAGGAAATAAGTTGAGGCAGGGCACGCGGGCCGAGGAATCTCTAGATAGATGTTGACGAAATCTTTTGCCGTAGTAGGGGAAGTGTAGCCCACGCCTTTTTGTGTGTCGGCGTGCAGTGGGGACGAGAGAGCCTGACCGGGGAAAATCGCTCACCGAATACGCTCCGGCACACACAATAAGATAGCACGCACACTCCCTGGACCTAATTGGTACCTCGAGCTTGTCCGCGGCGAAGAGGACGCCAAAACATTCTTTGGGACGTTGTCGCAAACCTGTCGACAAGACGGTTACCACACCACCAGATAGATTATTTCGCCCCACCAATCACTGCTGTGGGTCAATTGGGCTCCGAATTTGGTCAAGGGGGTGATATCTCATGGCATCTACGGTAGTCGGAAAGGTGGCGTACAGAAGAGTCCCATCTCTTATTTTTTATTTCCGTTTTTCCTCGGCGTTGCCTGCAGAGTGGGAGAGGACGGGCTGTGCGTGAGTGTATCAACACCCCTTTATCGATCGTTTCCCTTGCTTCGTGCGGCATGTCACCTGCTTGATGCTGCTGCTGCAGCAGTCATATTCGTTTTAATATCGCCTCGCTTAGAATGGGTCCTCATTCCTTCCGCGGGTCCTCGCGCGGGTCATAAATAAATCATGTATGCACAGTAAACCGGGAAAACTTAGACTTCGCGTTCAGAACTGGACTTCGCGTTGAGGAACGGTCCCGAACCGACGCCAAACCGTCGATTTGATTCCGAAAACCAAATCAAACACGTCACGGCCTGCGACACCAAACGACCAATCGCCCCAAAAACTTCCTCATCGGCCGCCGCTCCAAATGGGCACTGGTAAGCCCCTACGCTGGTGTGCGCATGCTCTGGTGTATGGTAGACATGTTGCCGTTGCTTTGGCGCGTGTAGGCAGCACCGCGGCCTCATGGCAAAAAACCTAATCACCACGTCGGAGAGAGGGAGAGAGAACGAGCCCTCGGTCACACACACACCCAAAACGAAAGCTTTACGTGTGTCGTGGCTCCTGGCGTACATGTTGGAGACTGCTGTCCCTCGCCTCACGCACGCCCTACTCTACACACACACACACAGCACGTTGGTAGTGGATAGACAGACGTACAGCAGCAGTAGGGATAGAAGGAGAGATACAGGGCATCATCACGGGTAGGATGGAGAAGAAGAAGAAGAAGAAGAAAGAAGAGCGCAGTCGGGGCAACAACGAAAAGTCAGCCCAATCAAGGACAGGCCGATCTCGTTTGGACATCCACCCGAGCAGGGCGCGCCACAAGCAACGCCTGCCTGATTTGCTCGTGACCCTGTCGGCACGCTCTCTCTTGATACATGTGCGGGTCTATTGTGGCTCTGCCTGTACTCTCTCTTTCTCGAAACGTGTGCCGGTCGGTGGTCTATCCACCTTTTGTTTTTTCGGTCGCATGTATGTCCTCCTCCTCCTCCTCCTCCTTCTGTTTTGACCCTTCCTTGCAACGACCGCGCCTCATGTATGTATAAACAAAGTGTACGTGCTCCCTCGCACAACAACAACAACAGCACACGCGAGCACGCCTTTGACCTGTCTGTAGCTGACCTTCCACACAGCACGCGGCGAAGGAGTAGAGAGCTGCGCAAACCTAGTGGCAGAAAGGGTTGCGAGGAGAAGAGCACAGCGTGTGTACGCAGGTAGGTATGGGTAGGACTTCGCCCCCCCTCTGTCAGCGTAGGTATTGTAGTAGTCTTCTTTATGTGTGTTGTCGTACAGCAGTAACTACTGCCGTATTTCCTTCTCCGCCGTGAAACTGAACCTGCAGCAGCAGTATTCCACCACCGTCCGTTGCACAGACGGAGTGGCTAAAATGGACGTGATCATGTGTGATTGTTTGTTCGACGAGTCGAACCAAATGTTGGTGACGGGTACCGTTCGGCAAGGGTGATGAAATGGATGCACTGCTTCGATCCCCGCGGACAGGTCAGACAACACCGGGTCCGAGAACAGCAGTGCGTTCCTGCCTAAAGACAAGCAGGGGGTCATCCGAGCTTGGTTTTGGTCGCCTATCTGGGAGAGCCCATGATGTACTTCTGCTGTAGAAGGGAGATGTCGCCTATCTGGGAGGGCCCATGATGCACTCACTGCTGCTGTAGTAGAAGAAGGGAGACGAGCCAACTTCTTCAAATTGCGAGCCAGGTACGGTGCCTCTCTCACAACAACTGCTGTGCTACTGTAGGCTACTTGTATTGGTGTTTTACATGATGAGAAGGTAGGGGTATTCGATATCAACAACGGAAGCATGGTGTACAGACGCTCTTCCGCGACTTTGTACTGCCTGTTGATAAGCACGATGACCACTAGATCACTAGTCAGGGTTGCGGTGCGGTCGCCATTTGACGAGGGGGGTTTCTGTGTAGTCTCACAATGAGTTTTGTCTGTTGTCACTCTTGGTGTGAAACGTCGTTCCTACTTTAGTTAAGCTCTCCTTCTGGAGCAGTGACCGATACTAGGAGTTGCAATGTCACGAGATAGATATTGTTTTGTCGTGGTGCTCGTCACGCTTTTCCTCCTTGTTTGGCTCTGTTTTGCTATGCTGCCACTCCATGCCCCTTGTCTAAGCTGATGATACGTTTGGCCGCGTCTTCCATTGTCAGGGGCGTCGTTGCTTGGACCACCGCTTGGAATGGAGGACAGGGGAGATGGAAAGAGGCTACACAGGAGTGGAACAGCTTGTAATGGAGGACAGGGGAACATGGGTCGGGGCGGTACCTTGGGAAAGCTTGAGACCACGTCTGGGGCTGCACGTGATCGAAAGAAGGCGACGCGGCGGGGCGGGGATAATAATTAGAAGTGCGTACCAATCGGATTGCAGGCCGTTTTCCCTCCCAAATATGGAGCACGTTCGGGCAGCAAGTGGATACTCTTATTTTGTTTTAGGCGTAAGTTGGCGTAGGATTCGGTGGTAACTGTTTGTTGCGCGGGGGCATGAAGGGTGGAGCACGCACGAGGGACCACACCCGCTCCGCATGCTAGAGTGAGAGGTAGCGGCGCATCAATAATAGTATCAGCAGTGGTGTGGCAGAAGGTTCTGAGTTCGGCGTTTGTAGCGCCCCTCGTGCTTGCTGTTGTCGCAACAGGTTGGAAAGCAGCCGCATGTGATAAAGGTCGAGAGGCAGCGAGATGAGTAATCCTAGGCACGTTATTCGTGACTGTTTGTACACGCCTCTGTATACAGCATTGGCAACGTCAGGAGACGAAGCGTTGCCGTCGTCTTACAGCAACCGAAT